GCCTAAACATATCAGCCTGTTTAACCCTTGCACTGCTAATATCCCACGCGAGGTGTCCTAGGTGCCACTATTCTTCCCCACCTCACAGGTGAGGCGACAGAGGCACAGACAAATGAAGCAAGCTGCCGCCTAGGAAGAGGATGGGCTGCGTCTTAAAGCCAGGTGTCTCTCCGTTCCAGAAGGGCCGCATGTTGGGACAAGTAGGAGCTGCTTTTTCTCCTGGCTGGGGCCAGGCTCTGAGCGTCCCAACCCCCAGTTACCTCGGTCCCTGCCAGGATGCAAGCCTGCAGTTCCAATAACGGCCACTAGACGGCAAAGCTGCAAAGCTGCAGCCAACCAGCTGGCCAGAGGACAGACAGAAGGCTTCTTCCCATGGGGCGGACAGCCCCAACCTGGCCACCCACCTCCAGCTCCCCGGAAAAATCAGGCGTCTGGGGCCTGCTGTGGTTGCGGAGGGTCAAGCTGAGGTGCAGGCCATGGTCCAGGTCAGGTGCAAGGCCCAACTGGCAGTGGGAACGTAGTAGGAGCTCCCCATGGCTTAGGGTGTGCTCTCCCGAGATGGAGAGGGCCTAGGATGATAGGGTGGACATCAGCAGCCAGGGAGGCACAGGGGAAGGGCAGGCAGCTGGGACTGTGGCAGTCGCCTGTTTGGTCTCCCAGCCTGCACTCCTGGCCCAGCCCACAGCCCTTCTCCACTTGGCAGCTAGAGTGACCTTAAAAATGCAAATCGAACATTATCCACCTGCTCAAAGCCCTCTGCTTTCCCACTGCACCGGGAAGAGAAGCCAGTGTCCTTGGCATGGGTCAGCATTATCTTCTTAACCTCACCTCCTTGCTTTCTAAGGGCTGCCCTGTGTTCCTTAAACACCCTAGGCACTCTTTTGCCACAGGGCCTTTGCACCAGCTGTTCCCTCATGCCACAGAGCTGTCTGTGAGGCCCCTGCAATCCCCTGTCTCATTCCTTCACAGCATGCACCACACTTGGCTACATATCATGCATCTCGTTTGTTTTATCTTCCTCCACCCACTGGGACAAGAGCTCCAGGAGAGGGGGGCACCTGGTCTGTCCCTTTCACCATCCTTGTCTCTGTTTTGAGAAGAGAGCCTGGCATAAGTAAAACCCACAAATGCTTTCGGAATGGGTGGATGAATCAATTGGAAGCTGGGAGACTATGGCTCAGGGCCCAAATCCATCTCACTGCCTAATCCTGTAAATAAGTTGTTATTGGAACATGGCCACACCTATTCATTCCTATATCATCTAGGGCAGCTTTTGTGATACAATAGCAGAGCTGAGTACATATAATTGAGACCATACAGTCTGCAAAACCTAAAATATTTGTTATGCTATCCTTTACAGAAAAAAGTTAAGGACTCTTGGGATGGATGGATATATTAGATGATGGATGGATGGATAGATGGGTGGGTGGGTGCATGGGGATGGATGCATGGGATGGGAGGATAGAGGGATGAATGGAATGGGAGGATGGAGGGAGCAGGGAGGGATGGACAGGAGAATGGGTAGAAGGCAAAGTCAACCAGTTGAAAACCCAGGAGGATGATGGGGGGAAGGGTGCCAAAACCTCACCTTTAATGACCTGATGGTGACAGCAGCTTTCACTTATGAATTAGGCACCCTTCCTGCGTCATGTCTCTTAAATCTCACAATCACCCCACACCCTGGAACCTAGTGCTTCTTCCATTCTTCAGATGGAGCACTGGGTGTTCTGAGAGGAGATGTGTCCCGCCCATGGTCACCCAGCAGTCAGTGGCAGAGCCATGAGGTTGGCACCCAGCTCCCTGCTTATGTCCCTGCCTCATGCAGTGCCTTCCTCTCTCCTCACCCCCAGGGGTCCCTGCCCACCCCACCCCCCCAGGACAGGCTTACACTGGCAGGTCACAGAGCCCCAGGTGCAGGGAGTGGCACAGCCAGTGGGCATAGTCACTCTCCACTTCTCCCTGGAAGCTCTGTGTGGTGCAGGAGGCCATGAGGACATGCGCCAGCATGGCCTCTGTGTGACCTTGTGTGGCTGGGAAGGCCAGTGCCTCTGGATGAGGGGGCACTGTGGGATGAGAGCTCATTGCATAAGAGAGCATGTGGCACGCTGCCAGGGCAGGCTGAAGGGGTGAGCCAGGGCCCGGTGGGTAGCCAGCTTGCCTGTCTCCAGCCACAGAGAGGAGGAGACCACAACCTGGGCCAGGGGACAGGCTGAGCCAGAGGCCACTCCCAGGGAAGTCATACCCCCTCCCCAAGCAGTGTGGACAGTCTTCTTCAAGCTCAAGGGTGTGGGGACAGCTGGCTCTGAGCACAAACCCAGCACTGTGGGGGGGCCCTTAGAGAGCTCCAGCCCATTCTGCAGAAGGGGAAGCCGAGGCTCGGAGGGGAGCAGACAAGGACAAGTATATGACAGGCATAGGACGTGGTGGCTGACGAGAGCACTGGAGGCGTTCATGGGTACAAATCCCAGCCCTGCCTTCCGCTAGCTCTGTGACTCTGGGCAAGTCCCGGAACGTCTCTGAGCTTTGATTTCATCATCTGGAAATGGGGCCGAGCCCAGTGTGTGAGACGCCTTCAGTGCCTGATGGCTCTAGCCCCATCCATGTTGTTACAAATGGTAGTATTTGTTTTCTTCTTATGGCTTACTAATACTCCATTGTGTATATGTACCACATCTTCTTTATCCATTCATCTACTGACGGACACTTAGGTGGCTTCCATTTCTTTGCTATTGTATGTAGTGCTGCGATAAACATAGGGGTGCATATGTCTTTTTCAAACTGGGCTGCTGCATTTTTCGGATAAATTCTTAGGTGTGGAATGCCTGGGACAAATGGTATTTCTATGTTGAGTTTTTTGCAGAACCTCCATAATGCTTTCCACAATGGTTGAACTAATTTCCATTCCCCCGAGCAGTGTAGGAGGGTTCCCCTTTCTCCACATCCTCGCCAGCATGTGTTGTTGTTTGTCTTTTGGATGGTGGCCATCCTGAGTGGTGTGAGGTGATATCTCATTGTGGTTTAAATTTGCATTTCTCTGATGATTAGCGATGTGGAGCATCTTTTCATATGCCTGTTGGCCATCTGCATTTCTTCTTTGGAGAAGTGTGTGTTCAGACCCTCTGCCTATTTTTTAGTTGGGTTATTTGCTTTTTGATTGTTGAGGTGCTTGAGCTCTTTATATTTTGACTGTCAACCCCTTATGATTTATGTCATTTATGAATATATTCTCCCATACTGTAGAGATGCCTTTTTCTCCCACTGATGGTGTCCTTTGCTGTACAGAAGCTTTTGACTTGGATAGAGGCCCACTTGTTCATCTTTGCTTTTGTTTCCCTTGTCCGAGGAGGCATGTTCATGAAAAAGCTGCTCATGTTTATATTCAAGAGACTTTTGCCTATGATTTACTTCTAAGAGTTTTATGGTTTCATGACTTACATTCAGGTCTTTGATCCATTTTGAGTTTACTTTTGTGTATGGAGTTAGACTGTAATCCCATTTCATTGTCTCTCTCTCATGGAGCTGTCCAGTTTTGCCAACACCAGCTGTTGAAGAGGCTGTCATTTCCCCATCGTATGTCCGTCCGTTGTTCCTTTATCATATATGAATTGGCCATGTATGTGTGTGTTATATCTGCGCCCTCTATTCTGTTCCATTGATCTACAGGTCTGTTCTTGTGCCAGTACCAAATTGTCTTGCTTACTGTGGCTGTGTAGTAGAACTTGAAGTTGGGGAACATAATGCCCCCTCTGCCCCCACTTTATTCTTCCTTCTTAGGATTGCTTTGGCTATTTGGGGTCTTTTGTGGTTCCATGTGACTTTTAGAGCTATTTGTCCCAGTTTGTTGAAGAATGCTGTCGGTATTTTGATAGGGATGTTTCAGGAACCTGGTTTGTGTGTCAAGTTCTTGGGGGTTGTCTGGCTGGGTAAAACTACAGTTATCCCAGATGTGGTCATAGACAAGGCCCAGGCTTTCCCCACCCCTACCACTGTGGCAGTCAGTCATACAAGAGTTTTTGGGTGTTTTGGGCTCATGGAGGGTGTTTATCCCGCACTTGGCACAAATTCTGAAGGCTTCCTACCCGTCGGTACAAAAGGGCATCAGGTGGTACCATGATGAGACCTGTGCAGCTGTGCTCACTGCTACTGAGCAAGCAGTCAAGGCTGTTATAGTCCTTGAGTGTAATGGATTCATGAAGGCCCTGTGAGCTAGATATTCATGTAAACGGAGATGGTTATGGATGAGTGGACACGCCAACCTGTTGGATTTTGTTCACAATTATGGAAAGGGGCAGAGGTCTGGTAGCCGTTAATAGAGAAGCAACTGGCTTCTGTGTATCATGCCTTGCTGGCTATGGAGCCATCACCGGAACAGGTCCGACCAAGGTAATAACCACCTATCCCATCGCGGGGTGGGTGCGAGACTGGACCCAAAGCCAGGGAGTGGCACAGCACAGACGCCTCCACTGGCCAAATGGGGGCGCAAACTTGCAGCCGCATAGCACCCTCTCCAATATCCCCTTGAGTGGAGATCTCTGATGCTTATTTGGGCAAGTGACGTATATGAGTGGAAAACAAGAAGAAGTTGCACTTGAGCCATTGGTAGGCGAGAGTCCTTATCAGCAGGGAAAAGCCCCTATACCTGAAGATGCTTGGTATACAGACGGCTCCACTCGTGGGCAGCCCCTGAAGTGGAGGGCTGTGACTTTCCATCCTAAGACCAAAGCAATATGGATGTTAGAGGACAGAGAGGGGAAGAGCAGTCAATGGACTGAGTCACGAGCAATATGGCTCCCGATCACCCAGGATGATCACGCCTTCCCCTCTAGTTGTGTGCAGGGGTCATACCTGCGTGTGTCCTTGGCCTGGGGCTGGGAGCAGAATCAGTGTCTGGAAGGGTGACTTCCTAAGCCGACACAACGTGGTGGTCTGTCTACATGTGAGGGTCCAGACTTCCCTTCTTTTGGGCCGGTGAGCCCAGGCCTCTGTGGTCCCGGGAGCGCTCACACAGCAAGCAGGCTGCGGTCTCGCCTGCACACCCGGAGCTCTGGGTCTAACACTTGGATCTGGAAGGCAGGTGGCTCTGGCCTCAGGTGGCCCCTCCTTCCTCACCCAGCCTCCAGTTCCTTCTTGCCTCCACATCCCACGATCCCATGTTCCCCCAAATGCAGTCCGGTCCCCCTGCCCCCAGAGCCTAGCTGCTCACGCACCTCCTCACAATCCTCCCGGGAGACCCAGGCCTTCCAGCCCATGTATTGGGCGAATTGGACTCTCCGTTGGTGGAACAGACGACTCTTGGAATGGTCGTTCCCATAGAGAAGCCAAAGGATGGCCAGTTTGTGGCCTTCATCCTCCTCCATGTCATTGGCCAGGTAGCTGGGGAGAGACATCGGGCTGCTGGTCAGGAGCAAGACGGGAAGGATCCCCAGCCAAGGTCAGCTTCCAAGGAGAGGCACAGGCTGAACTTGACAAAGGACCTACGGGAGTCCTATCAGCATCACACGGGGCCACCCAGTCATCAAGAAGCAACTGCAGGGCAGGGACCTGAAAGGCACCTCTCACAGCTGGATGCTGAAGACAAAGGCCTTCGGGGAGGCCTGAGGGCGAGCAGTGCAATTTCCATGCAATGTCCCCATCATCTTCCCTGTGCCCTTTAAACCGGTTGTATGTGCACACCCTGCGGCTCCCTGCGGAGTGAGGATGTGTGTGCATCCAGAGGGCAGGAACTGACTGGCCGGTTTCTGTAGTCATAGCTTCCCTACCATGTGGCTCGGGCTGGAGTATGGGTGCCACGTGCCCTTCTCAAGGCTCTCCTCCCAGCTCTCCTAGTCCCTGGCACGGAATGCAGTCTACAAGATTTCATTGAATGAATGGACAGATGGACGGATGCTTTTATCTCACAGTCAAATGCCATACTGATCGCCTCATGGACTCAGTGTAGCTTAAACGTTTGCAACACAGAGTAGCATGCTGAGGGCTTTATGAACATGTGGATATTTTGGCAAGACCTGCCTGTGATGGGGTCTGGTGTGATGGGTTGGAGAAGGGGACGGGGGAGATAGGAAGTAACTATTACCCAGAACGTGACATGACACTAGGATTTTAGCTGATGTGCTACCGGGGGACCGCAGTTAGGGGGCCAGGGGAGGCATGGTAACAGTCGTGCTCTTTGCACCAACTTTTAGGAAAGGTCATTTTCTTCCAATATATATATGTGTGTGTGAAAGACACCTACAAGTCAGAAGACACAATGCGAAAACAGAGGGAAGGGATTTCAGACGGAGCACTGGAACAAAGTAGTGCAATATGAGGACCATCAGCAAGTGTGATGCTGACTGTGGGGAGGGTTGAGTTCAGACTGAGAAGGCTGGCCTCGGCTTAGAACCCCCTTAGCTGGTGACATTGCTGAGGAGGGGTGGGGAGCATTAGACCTGTGTTCTCGGAGGATTTGGGGCATGTAAAGCCTTGTAGGAAGCACGGTTGGGGAATGTTTACACTCGGTCTGTGTCACATGACGAGAGCCTGCATTGTGGCATCCGCCTGGGAACCCAGAGTTGGACAGTCCGCTTGATGTGGACTCAGGCAGGAGAGCGGCCAAGGCTTCGGAGGCAGTGGGGTCTCAAGCCTGGCCACCTGGGACAGTGTGGTGCCCATTCTGTCCCTCCTCTTAGGAGGGCTTTATGTGGTCTTTTGTTTGTTCCTGTGTTTTAACTGATGTTAGGCTTGTCTGTCTCCACAGATAACAGTATAGAAAACGCTCTGTTATAATCCTATCCTTGGCATACCAAAGTGAACGGTACACGTGGAGTAAAAAAGAAAATAGATGCAAGGTCAGAGTCCCACACCTCTCCCTCCACCCTCCCAGAGGACTGATTGTTGATGGCCGGCCACTGACAGCAATACTCACAGAGCTATGAAGAAATGAATTCGCTGGTACTGCCAGGAGGGGAGGCCAGCCTGGCTGAAATATGCTATGACCATGACCAGGAGATACTGAGGAAGAGGAGAACGCCACAGGAGAGCAGTCACATCCCAGAAGAGGAAGGACGGAGGGGTGAGGGAGGGGGAGGCTGGGGGCAGACCCTGCCCGTGTGGGGAGAGGGGCTTTAGGACGCTCGTGGATGGCAGGCTTTGCCGGTGTGACGCCGGGTATTTAGGACAGCCACCATCAGAAGGGTCTTTGATAACTTGGCACAAAGGGGAGTCCCCAGGGCTGAGGCGAGAAGGGACTTGCGGTGGCAGCCAAAGGGGTGGACCCCAGAGGAGTGGGGGTGGGGGCAGGGCTGCCCCTTCACACGCAAGGAGCCTCCAGGCCCCGCAAAGGGCAGTGTGGACAAGGCACCGAGTTGGAGAGAGAGGCAAGACTGTGGGTTTAGAAGGCATCCCTCCAGCCCCCCAGGGTAGATGCTGGAGAGGGAACACATGTCAGTGGACAAAGTTACCTTGTCAGATACCCTCGGATTTTTGTCCCAGGCCAAGAATCTTTTCACAACAGGGTCCCTTGGGAAGAGAGGCACAGGTTAGACAAACAGCCGGAGCAGGGCTGAGCAGAGAGCAGCCGTGCCTCCTGATGGGACCTTTCCGCGTGGGGAGGCCGAGGTGCACTCATTGGGCCAGAAAGATGGTGCCACCCTTCTTTGGTGGCTGGGTGGGGGGTCAGGTGTCAGTAGGTGATGTGCACAGGTCTGATCCTACGGAAGGTGGTGCTCCATCACCGTGCAGGAAGGCATCGTCGTCTCCCTTGACGGTCACATCAGCGCGCCCAATGGCCTGTCAGCACCCCGCACACTGACGGAGGCATTTAGATTTGAAAGCCTCAGGGGTGCAGTGGAAGCCGAGCTTTCGTGTGCCAAGTGCAGACTGCTTCTGCGTCTGGCCTAATCCTGCCTCATTTCTAAGTGTCCCCGGAGGAGTCCTGGGAACAGAGAGGTCACCAACTGACAGGGAATTCTTTTCCATTGGAAAAGCCTAGTCGCTGAAAGTTTCTCTAAAGGGGAATGGGCTCAGGGTTGCCCCTACCAAGCAGCCTTTTGAAGGCCTCATGATGCTCGGGCAGCACCGGGGACACCCGCCGTCGCTTCAGCCTCATCTTGAGGCCGCACAGCATCTCCAGTTTTCTGGTCCGGGCGGAGCGGGTTTTGCCCACTCTTCAGCCCCTCGCCGGGCCGGGCCGTGCTGCGTGCTGCAGGTCGGCGGCCGCGGGTCCCGGCGGAGCGCGCCACGGGCGGACCGGGCTGGGCCGGCGGCGATGAGG